CCCCCGCCAGTACATGCCTTTGCTGGTGCTGGACATCTTCAAGGACCTGCCTGGAGTCCCTGGGCTCTTTCTGGCCTGTGCCTACAGTGGGACCCTCAGGTGAGCAGCCCTCCTTGCTCACCTAGCTGCCCCTCTGTGGGATAGAACGTTCTGGGCATGTCCATCATTACAGTTCCTGCTTGGTCCCCAGTGGGCAGCTCAGGTGGGCTCCAGCAGAAGGCACGCCCTGGGGACAAGAACCCCAGCTGTGGGGTTTTCACCTTCTTATCACCTGGCAGGGACATACCCGCCTCCCCTTTCCCTTCTTTCTTTCCTGCCTTCTGCCCCCAAGCAAATGTTTATTGAGCACCTACTACGTACTGAGCACCTACTATGTGCATATGTGGGAGGCAAGGCACTGCTGTTGTAAATCCCAGGGCACAGCTGTGACCAAGTGGTCCCCCACTCCTGCCCTCAAGGGCCTCACATTCTAGTGTTTTCAAATACTCCGTGACTTCTGGCACATCCCTGTTCCTGTTGTGACCAGGGTCCCAAGCAGTTCTCAGCACCCTATGATTGCTGTGTAATGAGAACTTGTGTCATTCGTGTCCTTGGTCAGGGGTGTCCTTGCTCCCGTGGGGGTGTCTCAGGTCTGGGGGCGCGGATGGTGGGGTGGTGGACTTCTCCTCCACGCTTGGGGAATTCTGTCACCCATGCCTCTGCCCTTGGGCTGGGTGGGGTCCTGGCAAGTCAGATGGTATGAGCAGCTGGGGCCTCCCACAACAGGTGGACCCCAGGGGGGGTGTGTGGCCAGTCCCTTGATGAGACCTGTTGACCACCCTCCCCACCCCACTCTCAGCACCGCGTCCACCAGCATCAACGCCATGGCTGCGGTCACCGTGGAGGACCTCATCAAACCCCGGCTGCCCAGCCTCGCACCCCGGAGACTCGTAATGGTCTCCAAGGGGCTCTGTGAGTTGGAGGAACTCGGGTTGGGGGGTGGGCAGGGGGCATCTCCCCGCTGACCATGCCACCCCCCATCTGCAACAGCACTCATCTATGGCTCAGCCTGTCTCATCGTGGCAGCTCTGTCCTCGCTGCTGGGGGGAGGCGTCCTCCAGGTGAGCCCCCCGCCCTGACCCAGCCCCATCTCCACAAGAAGCATGGCATCGTCTGCATTGAACTAAAACCCAGAGAGGGTCCTACTTTTCGTGGCAGAACTGGGTTTTGTCCGATGCCACCAGCCTGATAACTTTGTGCAGCCACCTGCCTGGTGGCAATGGGAGGTGGGAGGTGGGGGGAGCGGGTGGCTTGGAGGCAGGGAGGGCCTCGCCCTGGCTCGGAGGTGGGACCAGAATTTGTCAGGAGAGAGAATCCGCGTCTTTGCCTCCAACACGGGGGAGAGAGACAGGGACAGGGAGTCCCGTCCCCTTTAGGGAAACAAGCACGGAGTCTCAAGGTCCATAGTGGAATTACTCAGGTCTTGCTTTCCCAGAGAGCAAACTGAAGCCAGGAGAGGTGGGATGGCTCTGCCCTCAGCTCCCCCTCCCCACCCCTTCTCACAGGGCTCCTTCACCGTCATGGGAGTCATCAGCGGCCCCCTCCTTGGAGCCTTCATCCTGGGGATGTTTCTTCCCGCCTGCAACACGCTGGTGAGTGGGGGCAGCTAGGGGTTGGGAGGGCGCATGGCCTCTCTCCCCTGACCTGGGCTCTGCCCCCAGGGCGTCCTCTCTGGGCTGGCCACCGGCTTGGCGCTCTCACTGTGGGTGGCCGTTGGCGCCACTCTATACCCGCCTAGCACCCAGTCCTTGGGAGTCCTGCCATCATCGGCTGCCGGCTGTGTCGTGCCCTCAGCCAACTCCTCTGGCCTCCTGGGCCAGCTCCTGGCCACCAACACCTCCAGCAGGAACCCCAGGTGAGCGGGCTGCTCAGAAGGGTGGGTGTGGCCTGAGAGGGTGTGGTGGGGGAGGGGAGCTCTGAAACTGAGTCTTGAATGAAAAGGAGGAATGTGCTTGGGAAGAGGTGAAGGAAGGGCATTCCCGGTGGAGAGAAGGGAAAGTGCAAAGAGCCTGAGGTCGGGTTTAGTTTAGTGAGGATGGGGTGTATTTAGTGGGCCGAGAAGGATAGATGAGGTCCAGCCAGAAGAATTTGGTCTGATTCTTTATTATTATTATTACTCTTGAGATATAATTTGCAGACCATAAAATGAACCATTTAAAAGTGGTTTTTAGTGGATTCACAAGGTTATACAACCATCACCATTAACTCAAGAACATTTTCATCACCTCACAAGGAAGCCCCATATCTCCATGAGCAGTCACTCCCCATCTCCCCCTCCCTCCAGCCCCTGGCAACCACTAATCTGCTTTCTGTTGCTATGGATTTGCCTGTCTGGACATTTATTATAAATGGAATTATACAATATATGGCCTGTTTTGTCTGGCTTCTTTCACTCGACATGATGTTTTCAAGGTTTTTGTTTGGTTTTGGTTTTGGTGTTTTCAAGGTTTATCCACATTGTAGCACATATGAGGGCTTGATTCCTTTTTATGGCTGAATAATATTCCCTGTATGGGTGGACCACATTTTGTTTATCCATTCATTCCTTGGACATCTGGGTTGTTTCCACTTTTTGGCTACTGTGAACAGTGCTGCTATGATCATTTGTGTACATATGTGTACATAAGTTTTGGTGTGGACATATGGTTTCATTTCTCTTGGTTTGTACCTAGGAATCGAACTACTGGATCATATAGAAGTTCTTTTAAATTATTTTTAAACACTTTTAAAATATTTTATTTATTTATTTGAGAGAGAGAGCATGAGTGAGAGAGCACGAGTGGGGGTGGAAGAGCAGAGGGAGAGGGAGAAGCAGACTTCCCGAGGAGCAGGGGGCCCGATGTGGGGCTTGATCCCAGGACCTGGAGATCATGATCTGAGCCCAAGGCAGACGCTTAACCATCTGAGCCACCCAGACACCCCTATATCTTTTTTTTTTCTGAGAAATGCCTATTCAAACCCTTTGCCCATTTTTTAATTGGTTCATTTGCTTTTTTATTGTTGAGTTATAATTTATATATTCTTTAAATCTTTATGTATTCTGGACACTAGATCCTTAGACAGATGTATGATTTGCAAATATTTTCTTCCACTCTGGGTTGTCTTTTCATATCTCTTGATAGTGTCCTTTGATGCACAAAAGATTTCAGTTTTGATGAAGTCTAATTTATCTGTGTTTTCTTGGGTTGCTTGTGCTTTTGGTGACAGATCTAAGAAATTATTACCAAATCCAAGATCATAAAGATGCACACCTATGTTTTCTTCTAAGAGTTTAATTTGGGTAGATTCTGAGAGTAACAGGGAGCCGTGGAGAGTGGTGAGCAGTGACAGGAAGTAATCTGAGTTACATTTCAGTAATGCTCCCTCTGGCTGTGTGTAGAGAACACCTGTGGGTGGAAGTGGGTTAGCTGGAGAGAAAGAGAAGTGGCTACTGCACACATCTGAGTGAGCAATAATGGAAGACTGGGCTAGGCCGTGGCAGTGGAGATGGGAGGAAATGAACAGATTGGGAGTGGCTTTTGGACTCATGCACACCTCTCCTACCCCTAGCCCTAAAATGGACCTTGATCGACCCGCCTTAGCTGACAACTTCTATGCCATTTCCTATCTTTACTATGGAGCCCTGGGCACGCTGAGCACTGTTCTATGTGGAGCCCTCATCAGCTGCTTGACAGGTAAGCAGGATGTATGGCCTTCTCAGAGATCACCTTATGAATCCCTCTGCCTCCAACCCACTGGGCAGGAAGAAGAGGAAGGACATTCCCGTCAGCCAAATGACCACCACGTGCTGGACGACGCATCAGCACCCTTTATGCTGTGTCGCCTTCGGGACAAACTCTGCACCTTGCAGGGCTGGTCCCGTTTTGTGAAGGCAGAAGAAACTGAGCCCCCCCACCCCCGCCCCAACCTGCCTTTCTAGTCTCCCCCACCTCCAAAACCAAGTCGTTGCTAGAGGATATGGGGTGGAGCCTCGAGGCGCTGTCCATTGTGCTGAAATATCTTCTCAGCAGGGCCTCAGCCACTCCGTGTCCCTCCGGGAATTCTGAATGCCACTGAGAAGTGGAAAGAGATCAAGAGAAATCAATAGTGATCACAGTACCTGTTCTTGCTTCCTGTGTCTCAGACTTTACATTCACCAGGGCTTTCTTGAGTCCTTCTCTGTGCCAGACACTATTCTAGATGCTGGGGAAATAATGAACCACCCACTGATGTATTACATCCCCTCACTGTGTAGATGAGAAAACTGAAGCCCAGAGAAGGGCAGAGGCTTGCCAGGGAACCCAGTGGGTCATTATCGAATCTGGGATTGGAACCCATCAGAGCTCTCCCTTCCCCCTCCCTCTCCAGTTCCTGTCACCTCTTCACTAAATATCTCCCTTTCCCACAGGCCCCACCAAGCGCAGTGCCTTGAGTCCTGGGCTGCTGTGGTGGGATCTTGCACGGCAGACAGCATCGGTGGCCCCCAAGGAAGAAGTGGCTACCTTGGATGACAGCTTAGGGAAGGTCAGTCACAGGGCTAGCTCCCAGAGCAGGGGGAGGGACAGTGAAGTGACTTTGGGTCCCCTGGGCATGGCCATAAGTCAGGGGAGGGAATTGGCGAGTCACCATCTTTCTCAGCGTCTTCCAGAGAAAAGGCTTGGGTGAGAGTTGACGTGTCTTCAACACTTTTTATTACACCCTTCAACAAAGACTGAGAATTTCATACTATTCATTTCCTTGGATTACATCCAGTCTGTGGCAGGTGAAACTGGTTTACCTTTAAGGTATTGATTTAAAATCTCTTCTATAAATAAAAGTACTTAATTCAGAAGTGAGTCAACTTCAAGAAAATCTTACATAAGAAACATGACCGGGGGTAGGCCAACTTCACCCAAAGTCATGTGGTTGCTATGTGAATGCCCTGAATTTGGAAAATGCTGTCCCTGATCCAAACCTGCCTCTGCTTTGAAATCCCTGTTTCATTTTCTCATTTCTTACTCTGGGCTGGGGTTCTTGTCCACTGTCTAGGAGGAGCAGATGAAAGCTAAACTGAGAAATAAGTAAGATCTCAGCAGGTAATAAGGACAATAAAACAGGGTACTGTGATGAGGGTGGCCTCTTGGAAGAGGTAAGAGATAGAGCCCCTAAGGAGGAGGAGCCAGCCCTAGGAAGATCTGGGGGAAGGGCATTCTTGATGGAGGGTACAGCAGGAGCAAAGGCTGAGGCCAGAAGCTTGAGAAGGGGAGGTATGGAGAGGGAAGGGATTTAGCTGGAGTGTTTTTAAAGCTCCTTTCAGCTGCTATGGGGAAATATTTATTTTCTTGAAGGGGAGCAGGCAGAAAGAGTGAGAGGGAGGCAGGCATCCTTGCAAGCATTGATGACTTGGACTATAGGTGATGTGGGCACTGGGGGAGAGAGAGAAGCGGGTGGAGGTTTTGGAGGCAGAAGGGACAGGACTGGCTGATGCACTGACCAAGGGGACAGTTGTGCAACCCTGCCCAGGTTCTGTCCTTCTAGGCCCTCAGTGATCCCATCTGGAGGATGAGCTGACACAGAGCAGAATGGATCTCTGACAGTGTCTTTCTTCTCTTTTCATTCCAGGGTGCTGAGGAACTGCCCCCTGGAACCAAGAGGCCTCCTGACTTCCTGCCCACTGATGAGGACCACCTGCTCTTCCTGGGGCAGAAGGAGGTGAATGGAGCTGGCTCCTGGACCCCCAGGAGTGCACATGACCGTGGTCAGGACCTTCGGGAGACAGACCTCTGAACCAGCAGGGGACTGACCACCTGGGATGGAACCTCAGGGTGGGCCATCCCAGGCCACAGAACAGCCTTGGGCTCCAATTGGCTGGACTGTGTCCTATGCAAATGAGTTTGGGATCCCTGCCCTATGGAAAGAGGTGAAGCCCTGCCTTTGGGAGGTCATTTTATCCAGCCCCCTTCCAGCCAGCCCCTAGTCTTCAATGCTGCACCCTTGCCTGCTCCCCCAAAATGAAGCCAGATTTCTCTCTACGTACAATAGAAAGATGTTGGAGTCCCCTCTGGACAACATGGGAAAACTCCAGGCCCAACATTAAGGTCTGAGAAAGTCTCCAGTGCTTCTCTGGAACATGTCTGAATATTAGCAAGGATTTGGGAGGTCCTCAGGCACAACCCCCTGCACCCCATTTTACAGATGGGGAAACTGAGGCCTGGAAAGGGGCAACAACTTGACCAAGGTCACAGAGCACACCAGAGATTCATTGAGAGTTGGGAAACCAGCTCTTCCACCTTCACCGCCTCCCTGTTTTCCTCCCTTTGGAGGGTCAGACATCACATGGCCCCTGACCTTGGGAGCAAGAAGGGAGGATAAAGGAGAAATAACATTTTCGATCTTCCTCTAATGCCTGGACACTATGTATCTCATCCATTAAGGAGCGTGAACCCACTTCACAGAGGAATAAACTAAGGCTCAGTGAGGTGGCCTGAGGTTACAGCAAGTCGGGTCTGGGCAGGGACGGACCTGGGAGCTGCATGATGCTGAAGGTCTATTGCCAACATGTCACTGGTGGACAGGGTCAGATAGGTTAGGCAAACCCATGTCCTGGGGATGCGCTTGACTTTGGATGGAGATTTAATCCACGCACATCCAATAAACGGACTTTGACGCTTGATGTTCTGTGCTCTCCTCAGTCAGATATGAGTGTGAATCTCAGTGTCTCTTGCTCCAAGACTGAGCGAATAAACCTGAGTGTTTAAGCATCAGATTGAGGTGATAATTGCCATCTCGGGGTGAATTATGCTGCCCTCCCTGACACATAGCTTCTCTCACCCTCCTGATTTGCTCTTGAAGCATTCCCTCCCCACTGCCCTTTCTGCCTGGACCCTGCCAGCCTCCACACTGTCCCTGCACCAGTCCCTTGGGGTCTCTGGGACCTTGAGAGCTGGCTGCACTCACATCTGCTCACATACCTGCTATGGCTCCTGTGGTCCCCAAGGGAGCATCCCCTACTCAGTTCAATAGGGTCCTCCCAAAATTCAAGACCCAAAACCTCCGAATGTGACCTTACTTGAAGAGTCTTGGCAGGTATACTTAGATTAAGATAACGTCATACTGGATTAGGGTGGGCCCTCAACCCAATGACTGTGTCCTTATAAGAAAAGAAGACACGCAGACACATAGGGAGACAGCCATGTGGACACCGAGACAGAGATTGACACATCTACATGGCAAGGGACACCAAGGATTGCTGGAGCCACCAGAAGCCAGGAGAGAGGCAAGAGGGGGTTCTCTTTTAGAGCCTTCGGAAGGAGTACAGCCTGCCAACACCTTGATTTTGGACTCCTGGCCTCCAGAGCTGGGAGAGAATAAATATCTATTATTTTAAGCTATGGCAGCTCAGAAAGTTAATACACACCTCAGGATCTGACCTCTCTCCACCCCTCAGAGACCTGGCCCTTTGTACAGGCTGTTTTCTGGAGACCTTTAGATTTGGACTTAAAAGGGACCATTGCAAATTTTCCACCACTGACCGAGTAGCATGGGAAGCAGACTTTCCACTGGTTAGTGGTGCTCACTCAGAGCACCTAACTTGGAGGTGAGAAGAGGCATGAGGGGCTAAGGCAGAACAAGCTGGTTTGGCTGATATTTTAGAGATCCAGCCATGTTGTCCCATTATCAATAGTTCATTCTTTCCATTGCTGAAGAGTATCCCACTGTATGGATGAATCACAGTTTGTTCAACCATTCACTATGTCAGCCTTGAAAATAAAGCAGCCAGTTATTTTACTAGCAAAGGGTTTACTCGGGAATGGCAGAGGAATTGCAATTTGGGACATGCAAGCTATGGCAAAACCATAGCCAAGTCTAGAGAACAAAAGAGAGGAACATTACTTTATAGAGAAAAAGAAGGAAGTTGGGCGCTTGGGCAGCTCAGCTGGTTGAGCGTCTGCCTTCGGCTCAGGTCATGATCTCAGGGGTCCTGGGATCCAGCCCCACAAGGGGCTCCCTGCTCAGCAGGGATTCTGCTTCTCCCTCTCCCTCTGCTGCTCCCCCTGCTTGTGCTCTTTCTGTCCTTCTCTCTCTCTCTCAAATAAAATCTAAAAAAAAAAAAAGAAGAAGGAAGTTGGGAGGGGTGACTTTTGAGGGTTTGGGGAAAGTGAGGGTTCAGGATGGTGATGGTTTCTCATTGGCTGAATTGTGGCAGTTTCTCACTGGCTGGGCTGAAGGAGAAAACCTTCTTTCCTCCTGCTGGGCTAGTACAGTAGGCTTCCTGTTGGAAAATACCGGGTCTGCTTCTTCCTGTTGGAGGTCTGCAATTGTCGAGTTGTCGAGGCATCAGAGCGCCCCCTGCTGGCCTCTCAACTATAAATGCTGCTTCCTATATTCAGTTTCACATCCAGGTAATGAACACTTTGGTTGTTTCCATTTTGAGCTATTACAAATAAAATTGCTGTGAACATTCACGTACACATCTTTGTGTGGACATATGCTTTCATTTCCCTTGGTTAAATACCTAGGAGTGAAATGGCTAGAGTCTATGGTAAGCGTGTGTTTATTTAAGAAACTGCCAAACCGTTTTCCAAAGTGTTTGTCCCATTTCACATTGTTGCCAACACCGTATAAGAGTTTCAGTTGTTGGGGCGCCTGAGTGGCTCGGTCGGTTAAGTGTCTGCCTTCGGCTTAGGTCATGATATCGGGGTCCTGGAATCAAGCCCCATGTTGGGTTCCCTGCTCAGCGGGGGGTCAGCCTCTCCCTCTCCTTCTGTCCCTCGCCCTGCTCATGCACACACACTCTCTCTTTCAAATAAATAAATAAAATCTTAAAAAAAAAAAAAAAAAGAGAGAGTTCCAGTTGTTCCACATACTTGCCAGAACTTAGTTAAGTTCATCTGTTTAATTTTGGTCACTTTAGTGGGTGTGTGATGGTATACAACCATGATCTTTTTTTTTTTATGATCTTATTTATTTATTTGTCAGAGACAGAGAGAGCAAGCACAAGCAGGGGGGGAGCTGCAGGCAGAGGGAGGAGCAGGCTCCCTACTGAGCAAGGAACGGAGCCTGAAATCGGAACTCCATCCCAGGACCATGGGGGACCTGAGCTGAAGGCAGACGCTTAACCAACTAAGCTACCCAGGCGTCCTATCCTGGTCTTGATTTATATTTTTCTGATGATTAATGATGTTGAGCATCTTTTCATGTGCTTGTTGCCCAACCATGTATTTTTGGCCAAGTGTCTATTCAAACCTTTTGCCCATTTTTTTTTTTTAAGATTTTATTTATTTGACAGAGACAGGCAAGAGAGGGAACACAAGCAAGGGGAGAAGCAGGCTTCCTGATGAGCAGGGAGCCCAATGCGGGGCTTGATCCCAGGACCCTGGGACCATGACCTGAGCCAAAGGCAGACGCTTAATGACTGAGCCACCAGGCGCCCGACCCTTTGCCCATTTTTAAA